GAACAAGTTCACCTTGGGAGGTATATACTCTGCTCAAATTCTTTTTTTTTTTTTTCCGAGTCTAGCACATCAAATATGCTTGAGCAAAGCATATACACATATGTCCTAGGAATAGGGGTCGACATTTTTTCCTAGAACCACTAGAACCTGACCCGGAGCTAACTGGTGAGTTGGGTTCGAGTTGAACAATCTAACTGATGCCCTTATTGTGAATGTAATTGCAGCTTAATTGGAGCAATCATCATAGTATTCGGACTTTACTCAGTGGTGTGGGGTAAAAGCAAAGAGAAGACAACCTCTGATACGTTAACATACCATGAAGGCAAGGCCCAAGAATTGCCCGTGGTGGACATAAAAACATCAGCCGACGTTTATAATGTCAAATTTGAAACTACTGGAAAATCCCATATTCCTCAGATCAATTCTCTACAGCAAGAGCTGTGAAAACTTAAGACCCGTCCCCCATCCCCCCATCTCCAACCCACGATGCGTGTGTACATGTATTTATACCAACTCTTAATTATTCTACTTTCTTTTATTCTCTGTTCAAAACATCAGTAGTTCGAAGAGAAACCAGCACATTTGTCATAGAATCTTGCAAGAGAACAAGAATAATTCGAACAGGATGAACACAGATAAAAGACTGAAGAAATGTTCACCACTGAAAATAATTTCCTGGATCAGAAAAACTAATATGAAGAAAGAATAATTAACAATCATCAGTTGTCAGCATTAAAAAAATGTGCAATGACAGCAATAAATTGTTTAAATACAACACGAAGTGTTAGGACCTTAGAGAAAGTAAAAACCGAGCAAAACAAGCTCCAATCGTTCACCAAAACTGAAGAAATTACTGTTAGAATTTTGGACTTCAATCACGAATTTCCGGACTCAGTCAACACCAAACGACACCACAACTAAGACCCAATCCAAACTACCAAAGCTCCCAACTCGGTTGCTCCTCAATGCCCACAAAGGACAAGGAGTGTGAAGGTTAATAGCCACAAATGACAACCACAAAGGCAAGAGAAGAAGAATAAACTAAAGGCCTCGGTCAAGCACCAAGCAAAAGAGGGAACTCGGTTTTTATCGTCAATAAACGGCTACCTCACTTCACACTC